TCGAAACTGAATATGCTTATTGTGTGACTTGAGAGCTCTAGCAATGGGATACAGAGGGTTGTTACCAAAAAAAGTCACCTATTTATTCATCCTCTGTCATCTCAAAAGGAAAACAAATCTCAGCAAGTCAAATTGTCCCTTCATAGGATGATGGATTTCTAAATGCTGAGTTCCTTTTTTTCAGTGAGGAGGTAACTCTGATGAATCAGTATTCACCAAGTGGCATTTGGCAGAACAGTAATGTTAGTTAGACAAATGTTCTGTGTAAGCCGTAAGATGCGACAGGTAAGCCACGAGGTATTGCCTGGCCATAGGCAAACACATTCAGATTCTGAGAACCTCCCTGTGAATTTAAAGAATGCATTTGGGAGCTAAGACATTGGGATGCTACTAACTACATAAGGGCATAGCTCATCAGGAGAAAATGAACATTTGGTGCGTGAGGTGTCTAGCATGTCCTGGTCCCAATGACACTTAGATACGCACTCCGCGTGATAGCGCTAGAAAGGCTTGAGCTTCATATTTCACGTATACCATAATGTTATATGATGCCTGTCTGCAAACTTTTTGACACCTCAATACATCACTCTATAATGTGCACCCCAATGGAAAGCTCCTGTCTATACTTATGTGCTTTATTATGTTTGATATACGTCCTTATCTCCCTCAGGAGTGACACAGACAATAGAATCTTCATGAATTCCTCACAGGCTGCTGCATTCAGCCCAGAAGAGCAGAAGACCATTGCCATGACTGAGCTATTACTATGTGCCAGGACCACTTCAGATCCTGTCCTTGGATTATCTCATTTAATATCCACAACAATTTTGAGTGGGAAGTTTTACTATTCTCATTTCAAAAATAAGGAATGGCTCTGAAAGATTAAGTTATGTTGTCCAAGCTCTCACAAGTGTGGTCATGGGTATCCCTAGAACACAGACTCAGGCCTCTTTGATTCCCAAACCTATGGTGTCTTAACCGCTTTGGTGTAGTGATCTTCCTGACTCCAAGATGGCGTCCATCTCTTTTTTAAGAGCTATCAGCTCATTTGTGCAATTTTCCTTCTTTCCTTGTCCTTAATTTCTCCACAGAAACATATCATTCCCAAAGATCATACTCTAAACGTGTCTTTGTATCCATGGTATACTGGCAAGTCTCAAGGGTGAACACACTTGGCTTGTGGGCTGTGGGTGGGTGAATATAAACACAACCTGAACAAAATCACGTCTGAGCTTTCTGCCTCTGAAGGACAAGTTCTCTGTGGTGAACTGTCTCGTAGAGATTACTTTACTGTGTGTACAGCTAGCACTGTCTCTACGAGAAAACACAGCTCTGTTACGAAGTAGTATGAATGGCCTCACTACCTGTGAAATGGAGTTTGTGTTGTCTGTGAGAGTGTGGACCACCACACACATGCTCATCTATGTGTCCGCCTGAGGGATGGCAGCCAAGACAACCTGTGAGCAGGAAGTCTCACTGCCAAGGATTGGTCTGTATCAATGAAAATTAGGCCACTGCTAGGGAAGCGAGGAAAACTGTCTAGCTCTCAGAGTTGGGAGACCCTGGAATTGGATATTAAGGAAAGTTGGGATGTTCTTAAAATACTAAAGAATGTGATAGCATCCCTTGCTTGAAGGAGACTTCAAGTGAATATGGATAATTCACAGGAATAAAGATTACATAGTGGTTCAGGTTGTTCTCTATGGAAGTGCATGCACATCTAACACCAAGTACAATTATGAGATATGCACAGTGTGTCTCATGTCTCTTAATGAGTATTTTTTCCAGCAGTTATTCTTCCTCTCATGACGTTTTACTTTTATACCCTTACCCAAGGAACTTCCTCTTTCCAAATAGTGTGGATTTCATTCCTTTTGTTTAAAACGTGTCAAATGATTGATTCAATGTTGGTCTACTTGTGACTAATATATAACAAATGTAGCTCATTATGGCTAAAGAGGCTGTAGGTCCCAGAAGAAAAAATGTTTGCATTTTAATTTGGCTCACATCTTAGGAGGAGAGATGCTAAGACCTTCTTATTCCTTAGCAGATCCCAGGCACAGAAAGAGATCTGTGAAGGGGGCCGTCTTCTGTCCTCACAGCGAAACATTCCTTGGCTCCCTGTTGCCTATTCGTAGCACAAGACCACTCAGCTGGTCTCCTCTGGTTGCTCTTCTGTGCCCATTCTTTTCATGTTTCAAAATCTGGTTACTGAGGCAGTTTTCCCTTATAGCATCGGAGTCCTTAAGCCTATTAATGCCTCCCTCTCCCATCCCTTCTTTCCTCACCGCAGTTTGAAGTCTTTCATTAATGCAATGGAATCCGTCACTTCTCTGCCTCTCCTCTCCTTTTCCTCTAGTCTAGCCATTCTCAGCTTGCCTTTTCTTCTGATTCTCCACTTCCAGACTGAGGTATTTTTAAATGTCAAGATTTGTTAAATAGTATTTTGGGAATACTACCAAAGCAAGATCGACACAGTGTTGGATTTGGAAAAAGGAAGGACAAGAAAGAAAAATAAACACATGACCACTCATGTACTTATATCCAATAACTGGAAGAGTAAGGGATACAATGATGGTAATTGCATTTACTTCCATTCAGTAGGACACAGCTTGCCATGTGGAAGTGGT